TTGTATGTGTTTCGTGTGATGATGAGAGTTTTAGGTGAAGACTACTTCAACTTCCTTATTGCTGATTACTTGTTCCTTTAGTTCAGGTCTGCGCACAAAAAAATTACAGCTATCGGAGATAGTGTACTCTAATTTTAAGATGAAATGGCACGCAGACATCTTGTTTTAGCGTTTGTTTTGGCGCAGTTCTGTACATCTTTTTGCTATCTTCCTCTACAAATCACTAGTGAAAGTTCCTAATTGTAAGAGAATTTTGTAAAATGCGCCTTTTTGTGCTTATAAAGATATTCATTAGGTGATTAGTTCTTAAATTCAACAGATATGTGGTATCTGAACAATTTGATTGAATGATAGCAGTTATGCGATGAGAGTAGGTAATAAATGTGATTAAATTTTAATGAATTGTTATAGATAAGGTGAGTTTCGTTTGAATCTGTTTAACTTAATTTGTTGATTTTTGACATTTCAATGATTGAATTATTCCATCTGTCCAATTCACACTTGCTTGCCTCTTCAAATTTCGCAAAACGTCACATTGGTAACGCAGGTTTCAATTTTTATTTGTTTACATATTGATGAACTATAAATATGACTCGATCACATATAAATGTATTTATAAATTTATACATTGATTATATATTTATATATTATATATCAATCATATTGATGAGCATTTAACAGCCATCTGTAATTTATCCAAACGTTATGTTATTTCATACCTCAACTGAAACATTTTTCAGCGTAATTCATAAAGATAATAATCTAATGCGTAATAATCTAATAATCTAATCAAATTAAAAAATAATCTAATGCGTTATTCAAATATTTTAGGAATTTTGAAGATTTTGATAATAATCATCTTTGAGTGTTATTTGCTGTCTTATTGTGGAAGTTTTATGGAATTTAGAAAGACGCACTCTTGCATGCAAAGAAGTTCTATTGGATGAATGATATGCATCAAAATTAGGATGATGAGATTAATGATGACAAGACTGCTTTCAGTAATCACCATGATATTAATGGTTATTAGGAGTAGGGATAAAATTTATAGAATTTAAATTCAGAACCAGTGATAACCTTGTTGACGAAGTAATAATCTTTAAAAGTAGCCGTAATGATTTTGTTAACGGAATATCGACTGTACAGTCGTATTCATGATAAGTTGCTGCTTCATGGGCTCACCATTATTATCATTTTTTTTCTTTATTCAAATATTTTTTAAATAGATTATTTAATCAGGAATTTAATTTTCAATAATTCTTCGATATGATATAAATAATTTCAATAATTATGAATATTTTCTAATTTTGGTTTCTGTTGATGTTAAAATGTTTAAAAATTTTTCTCATATTCAATAATAATGATAATATTGTGAATTAATTCAACGGGGTCGGGTGGCCCCAAATCCGCCCTTTTCAGTGCAATTGGAGGTCGAAGATGCAACGCGCAAACTTCGATTGGGCGATTTCATGGGCAATCCCGATCCGGCGCTAAGGTTCTTGTCTAGTCTTATCGCCATCTTACTGGCGTATAATCTTCTTTTAAGCAACATCCTTGTGGATATATACAACGATGCAGAGATACGGTCTGTCTCTCTGCTATTCGAGACTACGATGTGTTTGGAGATGCTGCACTCAAGAAGACATGTGCTGACGTCTTGTTGGACAAGTTTTGCTGATCCTTTTCGTCACCTAACACTCTTTCAGGAACGGCCATTCAATAGAGTTCATCAGCATATAATAAGGCACACGTTTGGGGAGCGTTTAGCTGTTTTGCACTAGAACCCATAGCGTTTAGTAGTTGGACAGAAAATGGGATATGTTATTGACATTGGGCGATGTGTGAGAAGTGATAGTTGTTGAACAGAAACATCTTCTTGGGTCGTATCTGGGCTGTATTTCACTGTTATGATAGGTTGGATGAAAATGTAGAATGCGGGTTTTGTGATAACTTATCGTTAGATGAAATTAGAAGCACATTGGTGAGTTAGTGATAACAATAATAATGATGATGATAATCGTAATACCTTTTTGTTTAGCACAGGTTGTGTGATGGTCGTGTACACATAAACACATCACCTTCTATGCAAAAATTTATAGCTAATCACGAGATGCGCCGCATAAGAGTGAATGGTGGCGCTGACAGGAGGAGGGGATGACAGCGTGCTCCCCGTCCTATATATCTATCTATCTATCACTTCACTTGCTGCTCATCCATCGAACACTAATCCTAATCCTAATCCTAATGCGTCAATTCTTTTTAGCATTTTAGCTTGAAGCATCAGCAAGCAAGCAATGAAACAAACAAACATCAGTGTTGTATCGCAATGCACCAGCGCCTATTTTATCAGTCATCTACCCATCTGCCCACCACAAACCCCTTCTATCCAAACTAACCAATAATTTCAGCATTAGTACAAAAAAACGATACAAAAAGCAAACAACAATTTCTTCTGCTCAAAAGAGTGTATTTTGTGTCATAAAATAATGCCACCGAACATTTGCATGCCAATTTCAGAAGTCCATCGCCAGAGCCGATATATGATGCTAGTGGTAAACGGTTGAATACACGTGAGATTCGTAAGCGACAAGAGTTGGAGCAGTTACGACATGAGAAAATTCAAGCACTACTGAAACTGAATCCAACTTTCAAGCCACCGGCCGATTATAGGTTTGTGTTCCAGATGAATTTTTACGTTGTTTTTGTTTGTTTGTTTCCCAATTGATTTCAGCAGGAATTGGAATCGACACTGACAAATTGTGTTGTTTTTTCGTTTGAAAGAATATCTGCTAGATTTCATTTTCGGCTAGTGAATTTTCTGAAAAGTTGCTATGGCGTGAGATTTGGTTTTTAGGCCACCAATGATTCGTCTTCATGATAAAGTGTGGAT